GAATTTTACAAAAAAAAGCTCAGAACTTTTTTGTACACATAATATTATTTTAAGCATCATTATTTATTTATATTTTTACATTGACTACACGTATATCACATGCTTTTAAAATAGAATGCATGAATTTTGCGACTTAATATGTAAAGATAAATATGTAATTTTCAAAATAATTATAGAGAAACCAGATGTGTTATAACAATATCCATGTATGTGAGTATAATATGTATAGATCATTCTCATCAGACTAATGATCATTAATAATTATATCACATATCGAATTATAGTAATTTTCTCGAGTTATATATAAGTTGCTCAAGGACGTGAGAAATAATAATTTTTATTTTTTAAAGTATTAATGTTATTCCAGTCGACACCAACTGAATTAAGTAACATCAATGTTATAATTTATCACTAATCAACAATGTAACTATTCTGTAACACTATGTGTTCTGTAACACTATGTGTTCTGTAACACTATGTGTTTCATTATATTTATATCGTTAAAAAATTATACTATCAGTGGCACAAGAGCGTATTATTTATAATTCTATTTATATATGTCAATTGTAAAATTTATGAATGTTAATATTGGCAATACATCAGATTTAAGTATTTTGAAGTTTGATTTAGTTACTATGACAGTTATAATCGGATACAAACAAAATGAGTATAGCGTATACACTATTTATTTCAAAGCAGTATTTCGTGTAGTCATCTAAAAAGATCAAAATTATCGTATGCAGCTTCTGCCTGTTACATGAGGAATTGGACTTGACCCTCACGTGCTGTAAGCTTTATTCTATCTTTATCACTCATTATTCATAAAAAAAAGAAGATAGAATGAAGCTTACCTTATCACATAAACATCAATTCTGAATAGTAGAATAGTCTCAGTAATTCACAAAGAAGTTGTACATATAGAGTAGGGGAGCTAAGAATGCGTGAGCGAATAGAAAGAAATAGAAAACAAGATGCTATCAGCATCCTTGACTGCGGTCGATTTAGACGCTCACGCGCTTTAAGTGCTTGTAATCATCATTTTGTCTTTATCGTTCATTAGATATGTAAAATAAGAATAGAAGTATTAAAAAGCGCTGAAAGTCCAAATCGACTGTAGTCCTTATTTAATCGCGCATATGCCGTTGATTTTTAGTGTTAGGAAGATTTCAGAAGAGCAATATATCGATGCCCTATTCAGCTTTCAAAGTTTTATGCACGGCGCAATATTAGACAAAGATAAAGATAGTCATCCCCAGAGAGAATCAAGGAAGAGTGGAGCGGATTCAGTCGAAAGCTGTCATTTATAGCTCATCGTTGAAGTGAGTAGGAGATATGATAGGAGCGTGATGGAACTATTGTACCGCACTAGTATTGTGTGTATGACATATATGTATATACACACACATGTACATTTGGGAACCAATCAGAGAAGAGAATCACTATTTGCTCCATTCTCCCTTGATTCTCTCTGGCCATCCTGTATCCTTTCCTTTTCTACTATCTAACATTTTCACTTACAGGGGCCCCTATGCTTTGCTTACTCTATATATATATACAGTCTTTTTGGCAATTCGTCGTGAAGTGGATGAAAAAACAAACAAAAAATGTTGACGAAAGTCTGCCTGAAAGAAATCGGCAGCGCTTTACATTAGAAAGAGATAATAAAGTAATCAAGATTTTTGAGAAAAATCCAACTTACGTTGAGTTCAGAAAATATTGTTCAAAAAGGGAATAAATGTAAATCTGTGAATGATTAAACGTTGATTACTTGCTTCTGGTTACAGCTGGCGAAGTACAAAACTCAAACCATTTTTGAAGCAATTACACGTGGAAAAATGTTTACAGTCGGAAAATATACAATACAATTAATCGACTTCACAATCTGATGTTAACCTGATCGAAAATGTGGGCTACTATGAAGATCAAGATGAGAGAAAAGTATGTCTTCACTTTGAAACAATTATCGTATTATGTTCGATCTGGAAATCACTTTCTAAGATTTTGGCAGAAAATCTCATAGAAAGCATGCCTTGACATTACCAAACCGTAATCGATAATGGAGGGGACTGGACGACATATTAGGTAAATTATATACGCATTGAAGCGTATATAATTCAAGATCATATATTTATTTTTCAAAAATCTTTTCCAGGAGAAACAGCTAACACGCTCTTGTGCCAATAACTATAATGGGCCTTCTTCAATAAGCTATTAGTCATAAATTAGAAATCAGAAGCTAAAAATTGATCAATCACAGTCGTCAGTTTTTAATTTCTGACTTCTGATTTTTAGGCTAATGACGGCTTATTGTAGGAGGTCCATAACATTCGGGTGCCGTCCCATGACGCTTATTGCCGTACGTGCGTATTCGCGTATCAAACGATCAATCACTGACGTTCCGCTGAACATACGCGACAATTTTGTTTCTTATGCTCTATGCAGCGGATCGCCAATCACACAATCGTTCTGTTTGATCTCTTTGCAAATTTTGCAAGCTAATAATTAGAAATACTTGCACAAACTAGATTATTAGATTGCAACAACTTTCATCACCTCACATATTTCTTAACTTAATGTAAAAAATATTATATTTTTTATCTTGCTGATTGACAACTCTATA